TTAAAACAATATTTAGCAAACTAATAAACTATTAAATGCGTTTGTCAAATATAACATGATACATTTTATTTTTATCACACTGTTTGCTTTTCATATATAAATTGATATTTTCCATTTTGTATTGCTTTTAAAGTACACTCTAAACGAGTAATAGTTATATTCCCCGTCTGCTTTTCTATAAATAGTTTTATTTATAATCAATTTTCCTTTCAAAATATTTAGCATTCTTGAACTCTACACCAAAGCAAGGTCTAATCTTATGCTGCTAACGTATTGAATTATATTTGAGATACAAAATTTGTGTAAATTATTTTAATGCTTTTTGTGTGTTTTAGTTTCGGGTTTTTATAGCAGATGTATTTCTACAGCACAGACATAAAACGAGTAAACTTTGATTTATAGTTATTAAAATGGTTTATGGTTGGTAAATATATAGACGAGGATATTTGTTTTTATGTGATGCTTCTGACAGTCTTTGAATATACAGGTTTAATTAATTATTACCAGAGAAAATTTATATGTATAATTTAATTGACATTTGTAGGGTGAGACAATGTTATCACACGACGGAAAAAAAGTTGTTTTTATTATAACTTGGCCTTGACAAATTAACTTAAATCATTACAAAAATTAGAACTTAATGATAGCCAAAACATTCTGATTTCCTTATTTGAATTCAAAAAACTATAACTAGTACTAATAAGTTTAGTATTTCTGTTCAGGAGCTGGGTAAATCAAAATAATGCTGTAATAGTTTCTCTTCATCTTTCTCTTGTCAAGAATTTGTATATTATGCAAAAAGAAAGGTTCCATATAAAGGGAAAAACAATTTTTTAAACTGTATTTTTAACCTCAAGAATCGTTGGTGATTACTCTTTTATTTTTACGCACAACAGGTCGTTAAAGGCCTAGGACATTTTTTTAAACATAATCCTAATATTAACTAATTATAATTATTTTAAACAAAACTTTAACTTAAATAAGTATATACAACATTCTTAACGACTCTGAAGAACCTGGTGGACAATATTTCTCCATTTGCTTCTATTTTGTGCTTTTCTTTTCCAGTCCCTCACCTTCACGTGTTTAAGGTCTTCTTCCACTTTACTAATCCACCTCGTTCTGGGTCTACCTCTTCTTTTGGAGCCGATTAGTTTTCTGGTTATTACTAGTTTGGGCATTCTGTTTGCTGCCATTCTTTCCACATGTCCCAACCATCTGATTCTTTGTGACTTGAAGAACTTGGTAATGGTAGGTTCTTTGTATAAAGCCATTACTTCATTGTTGGTTCTTCTCTCCCAACCATCTTCTGTCTTCCCTCCTCAGAATATGCGTCTTAGTATTTTCCTTTCCCATCTTGCCAGAGTATCCTCTTCCTTCTTATTTAATATCCATGTCTCACCGGCATATATTACTGTGGGTCGAGTTTTTCTTGTCTAGAAACGTATTTTGAGTTCAATAGGGCTCTTAAACTGCCTAATTTTTTATTCCCTTTTGCTATTCTGGCTTCGAGCTCTCATTCCTCTTTTCCAATTTAATCGAAAACTACACCAAAGTATTCAAATTTGTCCACCCTTTTAAAACTATAGTTTTTATTACTTACAGACCTCACACTAAAGTCTTCGTTTTTTCCTTCTGTTTCTCCCATGATCACATATTTGGTTTTGTCTTTATTTAGTTCCAATCGGAATTTTTGTGCTTGTTCGATGATTTTCTTCACAACTCTTTTTAATTCTTTCTCGGTTTTTGCTAGGATCGTTAAATCGTCAGCAAATGCCAAGCACTGGTGCTCATTTTCATGATTTTTTCTTCCACCTGCATTCTGCATTTTCTGATTTCAGTTAACACTAAGTTAAATGTAGTGGATAAAGGATCTCCCTATCTCAAGCCTTTTTGCTACCGTAAATTGATCTGATATGTGACCCTGCCAAGCAATTTCACATTTAGAGTTATTTAATGTCATTTTTACTAGCCGGATCAGTTTCTTTGGTATATCCAAATGTTCCATTGCTCGATACATTTTGACTCTATCGACTTTATCATATGCTTGTCTAAAATCCACAAACAAAACATGCAGGGGAACTTTACCTTCACAACAAGTCGTTTGTTTCTCCTTTAATGAGAAGATTTGGTCTACAGTAGATCTGTCTTTTCTAACGCCGGCCTGATACTCATGTAGGATTCTTTCCGTGTAGCAATTTAGTTTTTTCTCAATATTCTTGCCAAGATTTTGTATACCGTGTCTAGTAAGGCTATACCTCTATAGCTGTCTCACTTCAGTTTGTCTCTTTTTTTATGCAGAGGGCATATGCGGACCTCATACTACTCCGATGGCATTATTTCCTTTTCCCATAGTTGTTCTCCACCAAACTTGATCATTTCTATGCATATGTCATTTTTACCAGAACTTCTGTTATTTTTTCATTTCTTGTATTGCTGTCACCACCTCCTCCTCTGTAGGCTGCCTTTCAACTATCGCATCTTCTCCAACTGTCCAGTTGTCTAATGTTTCGTGGTCCTCCTCACCATTTAATAATTCTTCAAAATGTTTCTTCCATTCCGTCATTATTTCTGCCGGATCGCTAATTAAATTTCCGTCTTTACCTTTCATATAACTACAGTGGCTTTGGTAACCTTTTCACTTTTTTGACTTCTTGATAGAATGACCTCACCTCTTTGTTTTTAAACTTCTCTTCTATCTCTTTTAATTTCAACTCATTGTGGTATCTCTTTTTCTTTCTACATAGAGCTTTCAATCTTCCTCGAATTATTCTATATTCTTGTTTTTTACACTCTCTATTATCTGTTAATATTTGTTGTCCGATCTTCTTCTTTTCCTTTGCTATCGCCTGACACTCTTCGTCAAACCAATATTTGTTTGTACTTCTCTTGGAGCCGCACTTAACTATTTTCTCGCTAGCTTCTGCTACGGCAAATTTAATTTGTTCCCAGGCTTGATCTGTCTGTAAATTTTGGTGACATTGTTCTAGAATTTTATTTATTTCTTTTTCATATTTATTTTTTATTTCTACTTCCTTAAGTTTTTCAATATTTTACTTCCTTTTCGTTTTATTGTTCGATTTCTCTTTTTCTTCCAGCCTCCTCCCACATGTGACTTTAACGAGGGAATGGTCCAAGTCAATTTCAGCTCCTCTCATACTTCTTACCTTCTGAACGATATTCATATATTTACTTTCAACATTTCAATTCACCGTCCTTTCATTTAACTTGCTCCTGATTACTTTTGCATATAATTAATTTTTTCTGTTTCAACTACCTCATATCATTCTTCTTTAAGGTTTTCGTTTTCCTCGTCTGTTTTTAAGTATCTGAGAAAAAGAAAAGGGGAGAAAACGAAAGTAAAATTTTAAAAGGCTTCTATGGATTGGGAGAATAATAGAAGAGAACTACTTGTAAATTATTAAAAAAATATATCCTATAAATAACCAATTCGTTTTTTCGAAAGCCAGAAAATAGAAAAAAATCTGGTAAAGCATAAATGGGGCAACAAAGAATGAGATCGACTATATATTATGCAATGACGGAAACTTAATATTAGATACAGTAGTCCTAATAACAATAACATTAATACAATATAACACTCTGGACAGCTTTGTAAGATTATAGAATACATTTGACTCCCTAGAAATTTGGGCAATTTTTAATGCCTTAGCAACAATGACCGATATATGTCCGATATACAAAAATTATTAAGTATATACATATATGAAAATGGAATATCCCAAGTAAAAACAGAAGAAAAAACAGAAAACTATAAAGAGGGGTCAGACAAGGAGATTATATTTTACACAAGCAGTTTACTTTAGCTAGAAGATATGTTTCAAACTTTAGAATGGCCAAATAAAGGCGTGATGGCAGACAGCAAAAAGCTGAATCATCTGAGGGCTGCTGATGATGTCTCGATAGTAGTAAAAGACAGACAAGAATTGCACGAAATGCTATTAGATCTAAATACAAAATCAAAATAATTCTAGCAAAAACTAAATATTTAACAAAACGAATCTCTAAATATTACTGAGAATATAACAATATTATAAAAAAAGTCGTATATACACATACATGGGACAAAAATTTTGACAACATAGTCCACACACTTCAAGTGAATCAGAGAGCTATGTAAAGTAGAATGTTCAGCATTAAGCTCAGGATTCCGAAATCCAATGAAGAACTCGTCTACGAAGACGATCAAACGTGACAAATGTAATCCAAAAGAATTTTATGTTAAAATGGAACTGGAGACACATAGGAAGAATGGAAGATAAAGAACTTGTTGAGTGGCGACCAAAAGCTAATAAGAGAAGTAGAGGCAGACCTCATACGAGATGGACAGATGCCATGAAGTGAATGGCTGGTCACGAATGTATGCAAAAATCAACGAACAGAAATAAACGGGCATATCTAGGGGAGGCTAAGGGAAGATAGATGGAATAACTGTTGATAAAGATGAGGATGATGATGATTGAATACCTTACTAAAATGCTGCAGTAATTTCCCACTAGATCCAAAATCAAAAAACAAGTAAAGCCTTCCCAATGTTATGTCTGCGATTGGGAAGAGGTAAAGATAGCTTAGGGGTTAGAAAGTACCGTTTTCACGAGACTCTCTGATCTTTGGTCATGAGACCACTTTATACCACTTTATACCAAAAATCTCATGTTACCTGGAGTTTAAATTTGCTTTGTTACCTTGATTTTATTCTGTTGTTTACATAATATATATTATTATTTCTTCTTAATATTTTTTTTTGTTGTTTTTCCAGTATTTTTCTACTGTGGTTCTAGTCCATTGGGTAAGCAAATTTCTGTAGGCATTATCTTTGTCTTTGTTCGTTTTTTTTTCATTCAGTATAATTTTTTTTGGATAATTTGCTATTCCTATTATATATACCGAATAGTGCTACAATTTTTGTTATAACTGATACCATGTATAATAACATTTGAATATATTTCGTTTTATTAATTTGTCAAATTTATTTCCAGGTCAGTTTGCAGAAATTATCCATATCAGGACTCCATGTCAAACAACAACGACGGTGGCATTGGTCCTATATCCCCTCCCGCATTACTGTCACCTAGCGGGAAGTTACCGTCGCCAGGGGGGAAACTTCCCTCTTTGGATCCAGCCGATAGGTTTTTGGGAAAAGGATCTCCGTTTTCTCCCTCAAATGGAGATCCACAGAGGCACTCACAGAGCGATGACGACAGCGGGTGTGCTTTGGAGGAGTACACGTGGGTGCCACCAGGACTGAGGCCAGATCAAGTAAGTAAAAGAACTTTTATCTATTTCAGCCAATATTTAGTAAAAGAAATCAATAATTTAGATTTTATTTAATATGAATAATATTGGAACAAAATGTCTTTTTTTTGTTTATAATGGCTTTGGCAGTTTGCCATACAGCCAGTTACATGATCTTTTAATTTCATTAGGCGCAGTTAAAATTATTTGCAATCGAATAGACTAAAATAGATAAATATAAAGTTGAGAAATTAGTACAAACATTAATGAAAAGAAAAGAAAATATATATATATATATATATATATATATATATATATATATACATACATACACATATTTATCCATAAACATATACAATTAACATGGGTCACTCGCTTCATGTCCAGGGGCCCATCAGGACATTATAGTATATACATACACAGGAAAACTAGGCCACGGTAAATAGGATTAAACATATAAAGGAGAGAAAACAAAGGTAAAAAGTAGAAACAATTTTTTTAACTAAAGAAAAATATTACATTTGGTCAAAAAATCGATTATGCAATCATAAATTAATCTATTTTGGGTGGCTAGGGCAGATAAAACGTTAAACGGAGATTTACGGGTAATATGAACAATATTATTATAAAACGGTGGATTCCAAATTATATTTGGCACAACCAAAAAGTACATGATCTAGGTCGCCTTCTACTCCACATTCCACACAGTTTTTACTCTCAATCACATGAATTCTTGCAAGATGGGCAGGAAAACAAGCATGTCCAAATTTTAGCCTAGATATAGTGGTTATATAACGCCTAGGGACATTATAAGTTCTATGCCAATGTGCAACAGGAACAATTGTGTGTAAAGAAGTGGGTTGGTAAAACAAAACTCAGACCATAGATCACTCCTCAAGAGTCCCTTGCGTGTAGCAACCAAATCAGAAATACTGGGTAGATATTCTGTGGTATCCACTGAAAGAATACTTAATTTGGCTAGTTGGTCAACATGTTCATTATGTTTAATTCCACTGTGTGCTTTGGCCCATATAAATATCACATTTTTTTTTTATTTTCTTTTAAGTGTTTTACTAATTTTTTAATTAATATTATGTAGGGATTGGAGTATGTGGTTGGAAAAAAAGGTTGGTTAATGGCTGTAAGAACTGACATGGAATCTGAAACAATAATAACGGAGGATTCCCTGTTAGAAACAAAAAGTAGGGCTTGATATATGGCGATTGCTTCCGCACTAAATATGGAAATATTTGCTTTTAATTTAAACATTTTTTTCTACCTTCTCCATAGGAATGTAAAAGGCACATCCAGTAACGTCTTCTGTTTTGGAGGCATCCGTGTAGATAGTACTGTAGTAATCCCAATTGGATAAGATGCTTGTAATAATGTTGTTGTTTGATCTTCCCGTGTTAACATAATTTGGTTTAATAAATTTAACGCTATAAAAAAAAAATTTCAAAATCATTTATATCTGTGTGTGATTTTAAATTAATAGCTTCATCAGCAGAAACTGTTTTCTCTAAGAGCTTCACATAGAGTTGGAGAGTTTTTATTTTTCCAATATTTATTCGGTAAATCATAATTATTTAACTTTATTATTTCGGTATACAGGAAGGTGTTCTGATTTAATTTTCAGTAAAAATTTTTCGGCCAAGAAATGTCTTCTAAGTGAGATTGGAGGCTCAAGTGCTTCATTATAAAGGGGCTCCCTAGGGGTTGTCTTCATGGCACCAATACAGATCCGCAAACACTGGTTTATAAATATGTTTAATTTGTTTAGTAAGTTCTTGCTGGCAGATTCATATAACCAACATCCATAATCTACGATAGAGCGAATATAAGTTCTATAGAAAAGTAAGGAAGTCTGAACATCTGTTCCCCACCAAGTTTTAGTTGTCATTTTCAGAAAGTTTAGGCCTTTTTCACATCTGTTTAACATATATTCTATGTGAAATTTCCATGTTAGCTTGTGATCAAGTAAAATGCCCAAATATTTAATTACCTCTTTAAAAGGAATTTCTCGCTGTTTTACTATAAATGTTTCTATATTAGGAATGTTATGTCTACTGAAGAACAAAATGTCGCTTGTCAAAATGTTCAATGTGTTTTAAATGTATTCCTTTTTTTTAACCTTCAGAAAACTAATATCTGAAAAATTTTAACGCAGAATGCAAGATTGCGCTTTTAGCGAGGACCGAAAGTCCCTGAAAACTTATTTAATATTTATTTTAATAGGTTACAGGGGTGAAAAGAAAAGAGAAAATTTAGTGTGACTTTAAATCTCAAATATCTCATTCAAAAGAAACTTTTTGGTTATTCTGAGGTACTTTTGACCCTCGGTAATAATGCAATTTTTCATTTGGCGTTTAACTTTTTCAAATACTTATTAGTTTTCTAAGGATTAAAAAAAAATTAATAAAGTTAAAAATCATTGAACATTTTGGCAGTCGAGAATTTGCGTCTATGACTTTAATATCTATTCCGAAAATTGCTTTCTAATGTCTTTGGTTTGTGTCAGTGGCGGCTGGTGACTCAAAAATTTGGTAGTTCTGCAGTATCTTTTGGTTTTTTTTAATTCAATATCTTTTAATCGTTGTATTTTACAACGAGGGTTTTAGTTTGATATTTTACACCATATATTTATTCATTATATATCTATTAAAAAATAATAAAGAACTTACCGATTTTCTTCTTTTCAAATTGAAGATATATCCAATTATATCAAAAATAGCAATGGTACATTATGGTACACCAGTAATTGTTTTATAGTTTACGTTTTAAGTGGAATTTTATCGATAAATACGCTAATCTAAGGAATGCAAACGAAAAAAACACTACAAACAAAATCGCCACAACAATAATTGCATTATAGGGTCTTACGAACTAACTACACACAGCCAAATATATTATTTTTTTTTATAAATAAGCTCGATCCGTCGATTTTTTTTTAAAGCAAACTTGTCTATAACTTTTTCATTAAAGTTTGGTATTTCTTTTATAAGTGTTTTTTCTACTGGCAACATGGTTAATGCTATAAGTCGGTCAGCTTCAGCTTCTGCCGTACTCATGGGCACTGTAATTAGAATTTGAAGCAGTTTTACAGTTTCTTGAAAAGGCTCTGTTGAATAATTTTCAATTAAAAATGTTAAAAAAGGTATTGCCCCATTAATGTCTCTACAGTCTCTTCTAAAATAAATAACAGATAAATCAGTCTTCAAGCGCTCCCTATCTAAATTTGGATATAACGCGCAAGTCAGGCTTAAATTATCATCTGGGAAATTATCACAATAATTATCAAATTGCTCAGGATAAAGCAATGAAGTTGCAAGTAGGTGATTTTTAAAAGCAAATCTATCATTTGCACAATTTATGATTATATCACAATCTCTTCGATGATCTACTGGACTGTTATCCTTCCGTAACCTTTTAGTTGGTAATGGTTCAACGCATAAACTAGAACCTTGGTCAATGGTATCATCTATTGAATTTCTAACTGAATTTATGTATGTTTCAAAATCTGTCATCTTTTTATTGATTTCCAAAGGATCCGTTTTAGTCTTTTGAAGGGCATTATACAAACGTCTACTTGTGGCATTATGCGATGGAAAAATGTTAACCAAAAAACAAAATTTTGATTAACTAGTATTCTTCGAATGGAAGACGCTGAACTACAGACAGCTTCCTTATCAAACGATTCTTTTATTTCTTCCATACATTCGATAAAAGAAGATCGATGTTCAAACACAACATTAACAGTTCGAATATTGAAGTTCCAGCGAGTTGGAGCGCCATGAGGAATTTTCTTTTGGACGATTGTATCTAAAACTGCCACTCGTGGCGAATTTTTAAAAAAGGTAGGGATTTCATTTAAATTTAAAAAAAAAAGTCTAACTTGAGAGTTTTCGGAACAAGCCTTAGACATTATTAAATTTAATTGATGCGCGTAACAGTGTACAAAATGAGCAAATGGATATGTTTCTTTGATTCTGGCTTGAACTCCTGCGTGCTGTCCACACATGACCGCTGCCCCATCATAACACTGAGCAATTAGTTTATTATTTGAGTTTTCCAGGATAGGATCCAATACACTGAAAATGTTTTTGCTTAAAGTATCTGCATTTAATTTTGAAGGTACCAAATATGTCCAAAATTGTTCTATCGGTGCTTCATTTCGACAATATCTAAATACTACAACCATTTGTGATTTTGCTGAAATGTCTGTAGTCTCGTCGGCCATGACAGCTAGATATGGAGATTCCAGAATTTCCTCCAAAATTTTATCCTGGCATAATTCCAACATGCAGTCCAAAATATCATTTTGAATTTCTTTAGAAATGCCCTTAAAAACCGTCGATTCTTCCAAGTGTTGTGCTAAAGTTCTATCCAATTCAGCAGTAAAATTTATGAGGCCGCGAAAAATTCCAGGATTGGCGGATGTTTGTGTCTCGTCGTGTCCCCGAAGCGCCAATTCGAAAACACTACAAAATTTTATGCAGTCTATAATTTTTTAAGAGAACATGCCTATTTTTTGTTACAGCTTCATTGAATTTTTGAATATTTATCCAGTATGCAGAATCTAACTGTTCTTTAATATTCATGGAGCCTAATAAAGCATATTCCATTTGCTTGTGCAAATGATGCTTAGAAGTTTCGTGCTTTTTTATTTTATCACTTAAATGTACTAAGTCTGTTACACCAACTTGCGTCCATGACTTATCACCTCCAAAGAGTACACAAGGAAAACAGAAAAGAGCGTTTTTTCTGTTGCAGCCACATATCCAACTATTTCTCGTATAAATATCGCAATTAAATTGTCGTTTGTAATTTTTCCCTCGGCTTGATCCTTCTTTTTCGATTTTAATATCCGGCAAAGGACGTCCTTTGCATTTTAATTCTAGTTTTTCGTCATAAGAATATTTAAAGAATCTCTTATCATTAATCAAATTATAAATAATAGCACTTTTATTCTCATATACTTAATAATAAATACCGAATTACGTGCAGGACAACTTATTTTAACAGTC